TCTGATCTCTTAATTTGGTTTCCTTTCTCTTTATGTTCCTCTTTGGGATATAATTGTATGATGCCGAATCTAAAATCTTCTAGTGACATTTTTAAAGAAGTTTAGGAAACCTTTAAAATCAGTGATGATAGGAAACAACCATTTTATAGCCAGATTCTGGCTGGCTGTGTGTGGCTCTACTGGACGATAGGAAGAGTGGAAACACACCCATGTTAGGGGCAGCTATGACCTGACTGTGAAGCACAGGAGTAGGGGGAGATCAGCTATCTGTGCCAGAGTCTGGGAGGAAAAGAGAGTTATGCCGTCCTTCTGACCCTTGGAGCACTATCAGATGCTGCTGGAGCTGTGATGAGTTTTGGGGCAGGAGCAAGGGCTATGGACTCCCCAGTACAACACCTCACTTAAACAAGTACTTAACTTTAAGCACTGCCAATGAATAGGTGGGGTCAAATCCATGGAGCTACTCATGTACTTCAGCAGCACATGCTCAAGTGCTTTGCTGGCCCAGAGCTTCTATGGAGACATTATAGACACACTACCTTATTCCTCAGTGCTAGGGGCTGGAAGGTGCTGGAAGTTCTACGCCTGGGTGGATGAAGGTATGAAATGAAGTCAATGGTTTCAGGGCAGAGTGTAGTCAAATCTGTATGTCTCTGAATTTTAGATAAAATAATTGCCTTTTAGGCTCTTAGGTATTGAATCTGTCTTGTCATTTGGTACCATTGCGAAGAAGGCATGCGACTGTTGCTGTGGATAATGTGGATGAGAAGTGGAAAAGACCTATGTAGCTGATTGCAGGACGATCAGCCCAATGGAGGAAGATCCTCTGATGGCATAGGTTTGACACAGTGACTTCTGTGCCACCTGCAGCTGGCATAGGGAACATGGCTGAGGATTTTCTGTGACCTGATCCTCCTTGGGCCCAATGGTAGCAGATGTAATGTAGAGCAGCCCTAATCTTGCTCTAATTTACACTTGGGAAATGGCCTGGCACATATCCAGCCTAGGATCTAGGGAGTAAAAAGAGGTTGCTTCAAACCAAGCCTTTTTCATACACCCCTATCCTTGGTTGTGCTGCAAGCTGCTTGGATTTAGGCAAGGATCAGGGCTGAGAGCTCCAAAGCTGTGCAACTCCTCACAATGCCCCAGGGAAGCAGATAAGTAGCATTATCTTCCCTCTTCCCCTCTTCTCCTTGTATTGGTGCAGAACATGAGAGACCGAGAGATTTCATGATTTACCACCAAGTGAGTCTTTGGCACAGCTGGGATTAAAATTAATGAATTCCTCTCCCTTTGTCACTCACCTCATTAAACCATGTTGTTCCTCTAAGTCAAAGTTTAGCCAACCTGTGTGAATGGAGAAGTGAACTGACCACAGGAGTGGAGAGGGTTCCCTCGTGTCCATGCTGTTAGGAAAGTCCGATACTTATCATCAGAAATTCTTCAGTTGTTCATTTATTGGAACATGTAACTCAAACACACAGAAAATAACTTTGAAGAGTTTCCCAGCCACAAAGCCTGAGTCTTTGATTCCAGGTCGCTCTGTCCAATGTTTTGCCCTTTGGGGGACATTTCGGCAGGTAAATAAGAAAATTGCTCCAAATTCCATCAGAAGTCAACAGAAATTTCCATAGAGATATTAGATAACTCTAGCCATTCTCCCAGGACTTTGGACTAATTTAGTTCTGATTCTCATACCAAAGAAAGATCCAGCTATTTCATATTGCACCAAGGTCTCTTTTGCATCCCTTTCTATTTTAGGAATATGCCTACCCGTGTGTAATCTCAGCATGTATGGGACAGTGGGAGTAACCAGAGCCATTGCAGCCCATGGTCTATTAAGGATAAGAGGTGAAGTAGCACAGCTAGGACCTGTTCTTGCAAACTTTATTCTCATAACTAGTCCTTTGATATCAGGGATTCAGTGGGATGGCTCACATGAGCAACGGTTGCTGCCATGAGTGACAAGTCATGGCGAGTCCCCTTAGGAGACAGCACACCACAGGTAAAGCCAATGTAACATGATAGACTCATAAAACAGAGAGAGATTGGTCTCTCTCTTTAATGAAAGATGATCCTGTGTGCATCTGTAAGGGTTGGTCCCAGACCTGAGCGGGTGTGTGATGATGATCAGATAATAAAGCAGTCCTCAAAGGATGAGCAAGTTTGGCCACCCTCTGCAAGACACAGGCTCTTCCCTTTCTGCTGCTCCAGTATGAGCTCCCTTCCACTCCCATTTTCCCCACCCCATCCAGTTTACCCTCTCAATCTCTGTGTCTCTCTGCACTTAACAACCTCTGTGCCTCAGACTCTGCTAATTGCTGTGGTGTTGCGCCTTCTAACATGGCTGCCTGTTATCTATAGTAACCACAGGAGAAAGCACTAACCAATGCCTTTCCCAGCAGTTGCCCTATCTGTTTGCCTGCCCACTCCATTTGTCATCTCCTCTCCTTCTCCTTTGTGTGAGCCTGACAGTGTTCATACTGGTACTTCAACTGTCTTCAGATACGTGGGATAGTCCTGTCCTGTTTGAAAACCTGCCTATGTTAATAAGCAAGAGAGTCATGTTCTAGTCCTGAACTTAACCTGTCCTCCCCATTTTTCCCCCTTCCTAGAGGCTTTGGAGGAATATTTAGTGGTTCCGAGGCATTTTAAAGATGAACAGTGCTCAGTATTTATGGACCCTGGTAGTTTTAAATACAGGTATAAAGGGAATTATTCTGAGGACAGTTTGGTCTGACTTCACATGAAAAATCTTATAGGACATTTCCGAAATGGTTTCTAGCTTAGCTGTGCCAAGATTTTACTGTATAGCTCCATGCAGCATTTCTCCTTTGTATTCAGGATTTGCTATTCCCATTCTTTCCCTTTGGGGAATCAGAACAGCTTTATAACTTCAGTAACACTAAAGTAAAACGTAGGGACCTATGCTACCTTCAGATTCACACTGCAGCTCTCCAAGTTTAAACTTTGTGACCTCTGAGGAGACCTCAGCAAACTTAATGGAATTAAGGGCTGGGAGGGAAATACAACACTAATTAGCATTGCACCATCTCAGAGGGGTGGAGGGGACATGTTCAGCATAAATAAATGCGAAACTGCAGCAAAGTCATTTGCATTCCTGAGCCTTCTCAGGTGTGTAGTCACGAGGTAGTTGTCTAAGCTACAAGTGGTTTTGCATATCTATCAAGTAAATCAGAGACTCAGAATCCTAACACACATTAATAGGATGTGATTTTGTGATGCTCTCTGAAGGAGTTTGTGTCTGTAAAGGAATGAATGAATAGAGACAAAAGGTGCAGATTGCCATCTATAACCAATTAGATATTGTTCCGGTGTCATACCTCCAGCTTTTGGGAGACAGCTCCCCCTACACCCTGATGGCTGCTTCCCCCTTTCATTCACTGGCTTTCATGCACTGGCACAAGGCTGCAATGTTTGGGTTGCAATTGCTACAAAGGAGTGTCTGTGTTGGTAACCCAGTAATCAGCGTGTATTAGGTTTCCCTCTCTGCCCAATCCACAAGAGGTGGGTCTGCTGAAGCCTTGTGCATCAGGCTAGCTCAAGCTGTAGCAAATGCTGATATCATCTCTGGAGGTCTCTAGTTCAATTCCTGTTGAGTTAAGCAACATGTTGGCCCTCACACTTTCATTTTTAAAAATTTCACAAAGCTCTTCTATTATTATTGTTTGACTATTTTGTAATTTATATAATGAAACCTACACTTTCTCCCTAACCCTCCTGACTGTGTCACATTAATCAATGTCTACAATGTGAACAAAACAAGGAGCAGGATAAAGAAGGAAGGGAAGCAGCTAGATACTGCAGCCAGTTTTTAAACTAATTTCTGCCGTTGCTTCTCCTCAATTCTATAGCATCGTCTTGTATTCTGTGGCCCTGGCTGTGGCATCACAATCAAACAGATTTTAGTTAGTGTGTGAGGATGGTAATAGGTCTGTGTTATGGTCACATCAAGGCTTCTATCACCCTTTAGGATATCTGTTGGTCTGTGGGAATAGTCAGAATATTTTGTACAAGATAATAGGTAACTCCTGGAAAGAGTACAGAGATGTTGTCTATGTATACAGGACTACTATTCAAGAGGCCCTCAATCTATGACAAAGTTTGAGTGCTTTATGAGCAAAGGTGGGGGCCACATAAACTAGACATTGAAATCAGAGTGATATCCCAGATGCCATGGAGTGGTCTATGTGGGTAGATGTTGACTTTTTAATGTGTTTTAAGTTAAAGCAATAGACCAGAGTTTGAAAGCATGAATGCCTAAAGTCAAATACCTAAATCTATATTTACATACCCACATTAGCAGCCTAACTTTCACAAGTGCTGAGCGCCCATTCCTCCCACTGAGCAATCAGAAATCCCCGGGACAAATCAATTCACACTGAAAATCTGTCCACCAAGTTTTAAACCATTAAAACAAGTAGTAAATTTTCCCTTCTCAAAGGGCCTAATCCTGTGAGGTGAGGAGTGCCCTCACCTCCCAGAAAAGTCAGTGAAAGTTGAAGATGCTATTCAGCCTCTCTCAGGGTCAAACAGACCTTAAGCCATTGCTGAGCCCAAAATCAGCCAGCTTTCCTCTGATGGTTACGAAAGGGTGTTGCAGTATATACCATATCCCTGTTGTGTCTTGTTATAACAATGTCGCCTGTCTCCAACTGACCAAGGTGTCCTCATTAAGGATTGTTCTATATTTAGCCATTGCTGGGAGCATGTGCCCCTACCTTAATCAAAGACCTGGTAGCCATGGCAACGACACAGAGCATCTGGATGGATACAGTTTGCCAAACATTTTAACAAGGTGTGAGATGAATATCACATATCACCATTAGGTGAATTAATTTATCGTTCCTTTCCAGTACAGATTACAAAGTATTCATAACAGCTCCCTTGCCATAAAATGCTAGACTTTGCATTGATATGAGCCCCGTTAACATAGATTACATTACTAATCTTGTTTTCTTTTAAATTTCATTTTGCAGGTGTATCAGCATTCGTTTACGGCATATTATGTCCTCAGCAAAATACCTTTTGGGTAAGCAATAATTCAGTCTTCATTTTAAAACACAGCAATTTAAAATTCTACAAAGTAATACAAGATACAACTAATGATTTGCCAATAACAATTTCTGTGCAGCAGTCTAGCATCCACTGTACTGTGTGTTGTAGAACAGAACATAACCTGAAAGAAACAAAAGTAGTCCACTTCCGGGAGAGGGCCTAGTTTTCATGCTGTTGGCTGGAATGTAGTATAAATAGCTAAAAACTGGGAAGTGAACATAAATTTGTGTACTCTGAATATCACACTAGCTACTAGTCACGTGCAAATTTTTACCAGCAAAAATGGGGAGATACAATAGACCTGTACTTTGCTGTTATTAGAATATTGTAAGTGCAATTCTCAAACTAAAGCTCTAGTTTGCTATTCACTGTATTCTTTCACTGGTTTATTATTCCTATAGAGAGTGTCCAAACAGGTGGTAAGCATTTCTCATACCTAAAAGTCAGCTCCTGCAAAGACTTGCAAGTGTGCCTTTTGTTATGCTCCTGAGTAGTTTCAGTGAAGTCAATGACACTACACATGGCTCTTATCTAGCAAAGCACTTAAGCACTTGCTTAAGTCCCACTGACTTCAATGGGATTTTTTATTTCAATTGAGCTTAAGCATTTGCATGAAATTAAGTATGTGTTTAAGTGCTTTGTTGAATCAGGATCCTGTGAACAGTTGTGCATAAAGTTTGGCAGGATAAGGGCCTAAGTATACAAAATGGGAGGAGGAGAAGAGATGTTACATGCCTTTTTATAAAGTGCTGGATTGCAATATTCTATAGTACCTTTCTCCATGTGAAGCCCCACTGAAGTCAGTGGGTATTCGATGAATAAGTTACCACCAACCACAAGGAAGTGGATATCAAAATGTGGCCCAAAAATTGGTTTTACATTTTTCAGTATGTTTATCCTACCATATTTTTATATGTAACAGGAAAGTAGAAATACAAAGTATTTATAATGATCTCTTGGAAAGCAATTATTAATATAATACTTTTTATAAAAATTCAAGCATGAAAGAATTTAGTCATGTCGGCACAAATTTTTAAAGGTATTTAGGTGTTGCTGTGCTCAGCATGGCAATGCCTAAACGATTTAGGAGCTTAAATATCATTTTCAAAAGGGATCTAGGTACTCAGCAGTCTAAATCCCATTGACTGCCAGTGCAGTTTAGACTCCTAGATGCCTTTTGAAAATGAGATTTAGGCTCCTAAATCAATTAGATGTTGTGATGCTGAGTGCAGCAACACCTAAATAACTTAAAAAGCTGGAGCGTAGTTTTCCTGTTAAAGGTCTCTCTGATTTTAGGTTTGAAAATAAATTCCTAACTTCAGAGTATGATTTAGACCTCAGTCTGACAAACAGACATCATGTTTAGTTTCTTACAAGGCTGGTAATGTGCAGATGTTGTGTCAAGGAGATATCTCAGTATATGCCCCCACTTAGTTAAAAAAGAGTTCACGTAGAGAATTTCTTTCAGTGGTGTCCAGTTAACAGCCAAGAAACATCACTGTGCTTTCTTTACAGAAATTCTGTATTCTGCACATATATATATTTTAAAAAATCCCCAAATGTTAGAAACTCTCTAAATTAGCAATTTAGGAATCCAGACAGTTCACTACTACCACAGAATCGTTCATCATCCACCCCACCAAATTTACATCTCATATTGAATCTTTATTTTATTCTGTAATGGAACCATGCTGTTGGATGAATACTTTTGATTTCATTTATTCATTCAGTGTGAAGTGAAGATTCTGAAAGGAATATAGTGCCAGGAGGCACTGAGTTACGTCAGAGTCCTGTCTGTTTTCTCAGAGTATGATGTGTTGGTAGAGCAGGAAGATATTTTAATGGAGAGAATTGGTAGGATTGCTCTGTTTGGTGTTATGAAATGTGTTGATCACATAGTGTGATCGGGTTGTGTAAGTATATGTAGATCTCGCAAGCTCACATTTTTATCTGTATTGTAGAGCAACTAGCAAGTTGTTTCAGAGTAGCAGCTGTGTTAGTCTGTATCCGCAAAAAGAAAAGGAGTACTTGTGGCACCTTAGAGACTAACAAATTTATTTGAGCATAAGCTTTCGTGAGCTACAGCTCACTTTTTCCCCAGTGGGTAATGTTGCATGATGCAATAGTGCAATAAGTACATTGTAAATGCATCCCTTGAGGAGGGCTACTGAAGGGGAATTTATAATCTTCTAGAAATATATTTGGAATTTTGCACGTGATGTAGGAAATTCTCGTGGATATAGTTAAAAGGGTGGTCCCAACTGAGTGGTGTGATAGTGGGCAAGGAAAGATGACGCACAACTCAAAAGCAGTGCTTTCATTTAGAGAACAAAACTCTCGCATCACACTGGGTGGGAGTGGGGAGGGGAGGCTGTTGACCTAGTAGGGACACACACACACCTGCCTTAGAGCAGAGTATTTATTTTATTGTATTTCTTTAGATTTGACATTCCTGAACAAAGCTCTTGTAAACACTTTGAGCGCCTTGACAGCAATTAAACTTACAATAACCACCCAGCAGATTTAGTACCAATATGCAAACAAATTAATGTCACTAGCCACCAGCCTTAAATAATCAAATGGAGGGAACCATTTACCTCAGCTTGCAGTCAGTAAAAATGACAACTCTCCCAGAAAGCTGCTCAGCCCCAAATCCTGTCCCAGAACACCCTCATGTCCTTCCCCCAAAGCCCTGTCAGGTGCAGTGCACCCTACTTCTGCTGCAAAACGAGGCAGCCTATGTACCCTGTTAGTATGTGCTGCCAGCTGAGGAGCTTGGGGCCTGCTCATGCTCCCAAGCCAGTGGCCATAGCTTGAGCCTAGGTGTCCACATTAGCTGTGACCCCAGCCCATCTCAGTCCTTCTGTTTCTAAATGTGAATTCCACAGAACGTATACCCCATGGGCTGTGCCAGTGTAAGTTTCCCTGAACTGTCTCACCCACCTTCCTCGCCCGCAGCTCTGACCTTTCATAATGAGAGGAGTAGGTAGTTCAGCCTTCACGCTCATTCAGCCCTTGCTGCCTCTGCTAGGATTTCCTAATAAGGGAGCCAATTAGTGTCACCACTTTTAAAGAACATGACATTTATTTAATTCAATTCTCTCCATAAATTGCTTTTTTTAAGGGAAATTACTGATTTTTTTGCTGGTTTCCTGCAGATCCTGGTTATGATTATAAACAGAGATGGATCCGAGCCACCAAAGTTTGGCTTTAGATTTGAACTTTCCCCAAGTTCTGGTTGGGAGCTTGACTTGGGTCCACCTCTAGTTTACAATGTACAGTTCAAGTGAAGACACTGGCAAATAGTGTGTGAAATGTCCCGATCTGGAAACCCTTACTCCTTTCAGTGCCTTTGGAGATGTATATCAAATTGTTTGTGTGAGTAAGAGAAGCGGGTCTGAGCCCCTTGTGCAGAGTGAGTGATAAATGATAGCAGAGATAAGCCTCATAGTATCTTATTAAAAACAAAGTATAAGGTTGAAGTAGAAGGGAAAATAATCCCTGCAGAGTTTTAAACCCTTCCCTTCCCCTCCCATTATCTCAGATTTCTACAGATTTTTTTGTAGATTCAGGATAAAAATCCCCCATAGATTTTGCCAAATTTCCCTTCAGATTTCTGTGGCCCACTGATGTTAAGAAGGGTTTTAGTTTTTTTTATGAAGGGACTGATTTATGGGTCTATAATTGTTCTTATTTTCAAGAGTATAGGGGGTTTTTTGCTTTATTTTTTTTTAAAGGCTGCTCAACAGAGCTAGAAACATGGCACCCACTACCTGTACCCCTGTTTTCTTTCTATCAAGTGTCAGAGCAGTGAAGCTCATACTGTTCTTGGGTGCCATCTAGTGGATTTGTTACTTTTGTAAAATTTAGCAGGTGTTTCATCAGACACAGCTTTGTATCCCACATTTGTTTTTCTCTTACTGGTGCTGTCAAGGAACCTGATGGAAATGGCTTGTTACCTGCGTTTTAAAATACTTTTGCAAAGCTTCTAGTGCAACATGATGGCTTCACTTGCCAAGCTGTCAGTGGCCACCTGTTATTATTTATTTATTATTTGTGTTGCAATAGCACTTATGAGCTCCATTCCTGGACCAGGACTGCATTGTGGTAGGCACTGAACATAAATACAATCCTATTTGTTAATTTCTGATTGTTGTTCTTTTGTTTACCCATGGGAGCATGAATTCTGCTCACTAGAGTTACTCAGTGTAATTGATCCTTGCTAGGCCCCAACTGCCCAGCCCCGCAGACAAATCTTCCACTGAGGTGGAAGAAATGTATGATTTGTGTACAGTCTGCAGGATGAGCACTGCATTCTTCAGCTAGATTGAAAAAATATCTTCCTGCTTGACTCTTCCCCTTGAGAACCACTTGCCAAAGTTTTTGTATTGAACTACATCATATGACTCCCTATTTCTTGTTAGGTTTTATTACATGTTATTCGTGCTCTTGCTGTGTGGTGCCTATTACTGATTTACATTATTTAATAAACCAACACAGTGTTTAATGGACTGTATGGGTTTTTTTGTCTTTTCCACTGGGGCTCTGCACTGGAACCTTGCACTGAATAATCACCATCTCTTATCTAATGCTTTTTGTCCCTAGCTCTCAAAGCACTTTACAAAGGAGGTCAGTATCATTATCCCTGTTTTTCAAATGGGGAAACTGAGGAGGAACTGACTTGCCTAAGGTCACCCAGCAAGACAGTAGCAGAGCTGGGACTAGAACCCAGGTCTCTTGAGTGCTTCAGAAGGCAGGTTATTGCATGAGTGCCTACTACACTGACCTCGAGGTTGTTGGTTACTGGCCGCTGTTTAAAACAGCATGCGGCACTAGCTGGACCACAGGTCTGTTCTGGTATGGCAGTCCCTATGGAAGAGGTAGCATTTGATTGTTCTTTTTCCAAGTACCTATATCTGTTGCCTTCACCAGGGCCTAAAAAAGACACCATTTTCAGTTCTGCTTTATTTTTAA